GATAACATTACCTGCAGACAAACGATGTCCTCTAATTCTACGTCGCCAGCTTTCCCCCATTTCCTTTCGCCGTCAATACAGAAGCAACGCGCAGCAGCTGCTGCTGCCGCGGCGGCGGCGGCGGAGGCGGCCGCGCCCACACCCTCAGGCGCTGACGCCGCCGGAGGTGATACGGCATGGGATCCGGAAGTTGTGGCGGCGGCGGCTCAGCGGCCGCTTTCCGCCGCCAGCCAACAGATTCGCTCCCCGTTCCGCCTCTACCTCTTCTCCTACCTGTCCGCCTTCCTGGCGCTGCTCGTCATAAACGGTTAGTTGGTTGTTGGAAGCACCGCAGTTAAAAGCGGTTAGGTATTTGGTTAACTTTGTCAGGTCTTTCTTTCTTTCTCGTCACAGCCTCTTTTCCCTTCTTCCGGTTCCTCTCTTCCCTCCCTTTCCCCCCAGTTCTACGTTTGATACATTCTTGCCCTGGCAGCAGCTTCAATCGTGTTTGGTTCGTCTTTCCCCCCTCCGCTATCCTGATATGTACATACATAGTGTATGTATGTCGTTACGCATCCGCCTGGCTGGGGGACTCAGGCTGGGGGGCCGCTAACCCGACCCATCGGGAGACCACCGAAGCGCTCCTCTATGTGTATTATGTATTATGTGGCCGGGGCTGTGGCCACCGAGCGGTCTCATGTTTGCCGTGCCGTGCCGTGCCTTGCCGTGCCTTGCCGTGCCGAGCTTTGCTTTGCCGACCTTTGTTTTGCTTTTACACTGGCATTCACGTTGCATTGCGTTGCATTTTGCACCGCGCCGCGTATATATCACCGTGTTGCGCGAGACGCTGAATGCGTGTGATGTAATACGTAATAATTTGTACTTTGTTTGTGCCCCCCCCTGCTCTATCCGCGTTCTGTTTGAGAAGTTTGTTTTGGGTTATTTCTCGGGATTATTTCGTTTTTGAATGGTTTCGGAATGGTTTACTGGAATATACGTCTTCGCGCGTTCGTAGATGTACTGGTGATGTCGTCGGTGCCCCGTCCGGAGGCGGCTGAGGCGGCGGCGGTGGAGGCGGCCGTGACGATGCCCCACGTCGCCAAAGATGCGCTGTACGGCATGCTGTCAGCGGGGCTAGGCTATGTGGCTGTACTGGAACGCCAGGCACTGGGGCAGGCGCAGGTAGGGGGGGAAGGGGGGATAGGAGGGGGGTTTAGGGGATAGGAGGGGTACGGGTACGGGGGAAAGATTGCGTGTATGTATGTATGTATGTATGTATGTATGTATGTATGTATGTATGTATGTATGTATGTATGTATGTATGTATGTATGTATGTATGTATGTATGTATGTATGTATGTATATGTGAATTTGTGTTGTGGCTGTTATCATGGTATCAGGGGGGAGGGGGCTTTGCAGATTGTCGTTCATCCTTTTTCCGATTTGTGAGAAAGCAAAGATTTCCACCAAATGCCAGCCGTACAAGCCCCGGGGGGGGAGGGAGGAAAGAGGGGAAACATTCAAAGATCCAACACGGTTTCTCAACACTGTCGTGCAGGAGGCCATGCTGGAAGGCATTCGCCGTACAGCCGGGCGTCCCAGCAGTACGTCCTCCTCGCCACGGCCGCCGTTGCCATCGCAGCAGCAGCAACAACATCAACAGCAGCAGCAACAAGATGGTGACGAGCCTTAATCATACTTTAAATAAAAAGCGGCAAATAATGTACTGTACATGAAAATGTTTTGTTAATATTATACATATTACGGTGAAGAACAAAGCAGCAGTGGCAAGCAAAAGGCAACAACAGCAGTAAAGGCAACAAGCGCATCGTTTTGTGACCTCTAACGTTACGCGGCTATGACACTACAGAATTTCATCATTCGAAGCATGTGGCTGGACATTTTGACGTTGCCGGTCTCCAATTAGTGGCTGCTCCAATGGGCGAGTGGGTCGGTAGCGGTCCCGCTGGACACGAGCCCCATGACAACGGCGGCAGCGGAGCAAGGTTTTGAGCGTGGCTTGCGCCATGGGCCCGGGGCCTCCCCCGCATCACGTCGTACATCCGTACATACACTCCTTTGACGGTCAGTTAGGGCAGGCAGGCAGGTAGGCGCGTGCGTTTGGATTATGGTGCAAGATGACGTGGCTGAGGTGGCAGGAGGGGTCGCGTGATGAGATGGCTGAGTTCGATTTCGTGAAGGAGCTTTTTAACGTTCACAACGGACAGGTAAAGCTATTCTAGCAGACAGAGAATGGTGGGAAGAACAGGTGGGGGGTAGCGAGTGGGCAGTTGGGGGTGAGAGGGGCCGGGAAGGGAGAAATGGGGAGGGGGTGTTCTTAAGTCGTTGAGGGGGGATGCCCCGGAGGTGGGACGATGGCGTCCTCGGGCCTCGGGGGGGGGGAGGGGGTTCGCCGATGGGTATTTCCACAGCTGTTGTCGTACAGGCTGATATGTACAGCGGTGGCGGGTAGACGGTTGGGATTTGGTGGGGCAGGCGGGGGGGCATGGTTGGGGATTACTCGACCACACATACTTCCATTTGTATGTGAAAAAAATATGGGGGGGGAAATTTTATTTCTTTGAGGTTTAAGATTTTCCTTTTTCTGTGCGTTGGGTTGTGTAGGAAGATTGGTTACTGAAAAGCAGCTAACTGTTTGGTTTTGTAGGTTTTGCGAATTGTAGGGAGGAAGAGATTCTCAAATGGTGGATGTGGTAATGCCTGCTGCATGTACGCATATATGATTGCTTTTTTTGGTGGTTGTGGTGGTAGTTGTGGTGTTCGGGTTGTGTGGTGCAGAGAACGTCATCAAAGGCAGAGGCTGTGCCAAAGTAATGGTCTTAATTGCCTGGTTGGTTAAGAGAAGGCAAAGGAAATCACACACGGGAAGTCAAGGGCGCTTTTGTACATTATGTTCGATATGTGGTATGTAACCATCTGTAAAAAGCGGCCGCGGCCCTTGGGGCGAAGGTGGTGGCGAATGACAGTTTTGTGTACTGGGGATCTCAGCATACCTTGTAAACAGAGACCTCGGTGTATCTTGTATGGCAAAAATATTCTTTCACTGTGTGATGTGACCGAGATAAGCGCGATGCGTTGCGTAGTTTCACACAAATTTTGTTACAGATTGATAAGGAGCTGTCCTGCTGTGCGCGCTTTGTAAGGAACTTAACCAGCAGACGCCCACCTCTCTTGCTCGCATCGCGACGAGGATAGAGTAGTAAGAATAGTACCTGGGCTTGGGCGTCTGCTTGGGGTTGGGGCGTTGCGCGTTATTGTTTCTCGGGCGGAAGGTGCTCTTTGTTCGTTGTGTCCGCGCGCGAATGCGTGAAGCAATGGTGCATGAAGGCCAGCTGGACACGCATTGCGGACCCGCGTGGTGGCTAGCGATGTGACGTGACTTTAACCTGTGACTTTTACCTTGATAGATTGGAGATTGGGAAGCATATCCCCGCACATATATACATACACATCCCCGGCAAAAGTGAAAAAAGTGAAGAGATAGGCCTCCTTGGACTGGTGAAGACATCCGTCAATCACCCCGTACATCACATCACGACAATCGCGACCAATCCAACGAGTGAAGTAAGCTCGACTCCCCCTTGCGAGCCTTTGGCGGAGTGCGTGAACATTTGGACCGTGTTGTTGTTCTTCATGCCTGTAGGCGTCATTTCCCCCCCCCACCCCTTCGCACCAAAAGGGGCCAGCCAGCAATAACTTTTACATGTGACGACGCTACGTTTGTAGATGATTGTCATTACTGCCCGCAGCGATATGGATATATAGTGTCAGTCGAATTCAGTAAAGTAAAAAGGCTTTCAGGGCTGTGCAAGGTTGTGGGTACATGCGGGCGGGCAGCAGCGAGAAGCCCCGAATTCACCCCTAGGGACATCATCAAGAGAGCTCTGGTGCGTCACGGTTCCCTCTAGCAGTCTCACAGGGCCGGCCTGACGGTGCGGTTTTAACCCCTCCATCTCCCCCCTCCATCTCCTCCCCCTTTTTGGACGATTGCGGGAAACTGACGGGCTGCCGTCCATCCGACAGAGGGACAGAAAGAGCGACAGATCGACAGGCTGGCCGGCAGGCATTTTTGTGCGTCCCTCCTCGCTCCTCTCCCCCAAAAAGAAGTTAAGTAGTTTTCTGTACCATCCGGGAAGCCTCGTGCATCGTGCGTCTCTGCACACACATACATACATACAAACAGCGTGTACTGAGCATACGGTCATTACGGTTCCTTACGTACACGTGTACAGCGGTCTTCACTCAGGCTGGGCTCCCGCGGCCCACTGCGACCACCGAGATTGACTTCTTGTTGGATACACTATTGCTACTGCAGTCGCAGCAGTAGCAGCAGCAGCAGCCATCAAAACTCGTTTTCATTTCTTCCATCAAACCACATCACACGTCACATCACGTCAAGAAGACCAAGAGTGGATCACATCACAACAAGATCGTTTTTAGCTACACCTCCCAGGGCCACCAGCCACGTCCTGCTGCACGATCCTCCCGCGGCGGGGAAGCAGCAGCGGCAGTGCGGCGGTACACGCCAGCGACACTAGCAGATAGCGAGCGAGCTCGCCGCTAGCGAGGAGCCGGCAAGTCCGCCATTGCTGGCCATTGCTCGTCCTCTACAGTGCACGTAAGGAGCCTTGCTCGGGTACACGCACACATTCGTACATACACACGCACACACATGGGGGGGGGTGTTGGATCATGGCCTGGTCAAAGGACACTCCTATGTGGCATAGGTTGATGGATATATAGGTTGCTGCCCCGGCGGACCTTGCTTGCTTGACTTTATGCGGTCAGGGGGAGATGTACGGGTCCGTACCTGGCCACACGTTTGGAATCGCTGACCTGCTGGCCCGCTTTGATGCCGTTATCGCTGTTGCTACTGCAGCTGCTATAGCCGCTGATACTGCTGTTGCTACTGCTGCTGCTACTGCTGTTGCAACTACTCCACTACTCAAGTAGCGAGAAGGGAAGTAACGGCTGCCGCTGCCGCTGCAGCCATGGCAGGGAAAACGGCACCGACGGAGCTCTTCACTGGAAGCGGTGACGGCGGCGGCGGCGGCGTTGGCGGTGGCGGAGGAGCCCGCACAGCCGCGGCCGCGGCGACGCGGCGGCGCTGCAAACCGCGAAGTGAAGGCAGCCTGCAAGGTGGACGCCGTCAGCTGCTGCTGCTGCAGCAGCTACCCTCCTCCTCCTTCGCCCCCTACCCCTCCTCGACGCCGCTGATGGTGTTGGCAGTGGTGACCATGTCGGTAGTGCTACAGCTGCAACTTGTTGCAGGTGCCCGTTTGCATGTGTTTGGAGGAGGTTGAGGACGTGTGCGTGTGTGTATGTATGTATGTATGTATGTATGTATGTATGTATGTATGTATGTATGTATGTATGTATGTATGTATGTATGTATGTATGTATGTATGTATGTATGTATGTATGTATGTATGTATGTATGTATGTATGTATGTATGTATGTATGTATGTATGTATGTATGTATGTATGTATGTATGTATGTATGTATGTATGTATGTATGTATGTATGTATGTATGTATGTATGTATGTATGTATGTATGTATGTATGTATGTATGTATGTATGTATGTATGTATGTATGTATGTATGTATGTATGTATGTATGTATGTATGTATGTATGTACGTTTGTGTGCGTGTTACAGGGTTTCACGGGCCGCGGCTGGGTCGGTTTGCCCACCACTAATACTAACTAATACTAACTAATACTAAGCATCCGCAGCCGCCCAAGCCCTATGTCGCCATATTCTGTCCTTCCCATCGCCACCGTCAGCGTATTCACAACCTATCAGCCATCACCACGCCCACCTAGCCCACCAATGCCATTACCGACCGACAACACCATCACAACGTAAAACCGTAATGTTCCCGCCGGCTCCCTTCATTTTGTGAACCCCATGTTTTTGAACCTCCCATGCTTCCGCTGCCGTACTCATGACTTGGGCACTCCTACAACGCCGCCGTCGCCGTTGCCGCTTCCGCCTCATTCGTCCCAATGACCCATGGGTCCTTCGGCCGTGTTGACCCGTCTGTTCCACATCAGTCGCCTCTCGTGGGCTGAACGAAGTCTCCAGGCGGCTGCACCCACCCTGCGGCCAGGCGGGTCTCAACAAGGCGCCGGTCCACAGCACCGAGTGGGGCGGCAGCGGCGACTTCGTGGAGGAGGACGAAGAGATGACGCCGTTGGTGCCGGGTATGTGGGGAGTACGGTCGGTACGGCCGGTATGGTTGATACGTTTGGTACGGCCACTGGGAAAGGATTCCATGGAAGGGATGGGGCGGTGGAGGGTGAGATGGATGGAGAGGTGGAGGTATTGGTGGTGAGCGAATTATATAACTCTATAAATCATACATATGTTATATATAATATAAATAAATATATGTGTATATATGTATATATAGTGCGGGTTCTTGGGGCAAGGGAAGCATTGAGGTGAGTGAGACATGTAGCGCTGCGTTCTTCATGAACCCGTTCTTGCGGCAGCTGATTCGGCAATGCTTAAACTGTCGTATCTTCGTACCCTCGTACTATATTTTGTGTACTCTGAAGCCAAGACACGATCCTAAGCACCCTCCGGGGCCCCGTGTGCGTGTGTGTGTTTGGTGTGTGTGTGATGGGGGGGGAGGGGGGGGAGGACTCAAGTCCGACATGAATCCCCCCTTAAAAGGATGGGGCCTCAAGCACCCGGATGTGAAGGGCGTGCTCCTGCCCTCCACCCTCTGTATATCTTTGTGCCATGTCCCGCTATTCCATGGGCCGGTGAACTATCATATAACCGCCTCAACGGACTTCCGTACAACCGCCGCCTCAACAACCGTCGTAGTCGTGTCCCGCGGGCTTCTGAACGCGGACTCGAAGAAGCAATCCGACGGTGAGAGGACAGCTTGGACCCCGGGAGGAGGTTGTGGTTGTGGTTGTGGTTGTGGAACTAACCGGAAGAAGGATGCACCCCTGAATCGGGGACATAATAATTAGGAAAAACATTACGACATGCGGTTGCTGTACGATAGTACGACAGGGGTTGTTCCGCCTATGCGTCACAAGTAATACAAATAATGATAACGAGTAATGATATAAATAATAATATGTTAGTCATTACCTTTATTAACGGAATGCACGTAAGAGTGGCGGCCAGCAGCAAGGGCAATAAGGGAGACTGTTTTTATGGTTGGTGGTTGGGCGTTGTGTGGGTGTATCTTAGCAAGCGGATGGCGGGAGCTGGTGGGCTCAGCGGTGGTGGTATCAGCACCATTAGCACCATTTCATTACATTGAAAAGCATTTGAATGTGGAAATGGGGGGGCGGGGGAAAGGACGGCTCTGGGTCAGATTGGGGCTTGTGATCGAGGGACGCTGCATGTGACATATATACGTGTTGTTTCGGGTACGGCATACCGTTTGATGGTCGTACTTGCCGTGGTAACTGTCATCCCTGTAACGCTCGTAGGTCAGGCGGTGGTCGTGAGAGCTCCCGGTACGACAGCTGTCTCCACCAACGGAGTTACTGTCGTACAGGCACCATTAACCGGCGTCGCGGACACTCCAGACCAGGTACGTGTTCTTCCACCTTTCGTACGACACATGCAGCATGTACGATATCCCCCACATATGGTCAAAAAATTGTCAGCATTGTACCAATAATACAATATAGAATGTCCACTTCGGTTTCACCGTTTTATATTTTTATTCCCCTCTATATTTCTCTATGTATTGTTCACACAAACCACCTTTGTTGAAGGGCATCGGTGCTCTGGTGAAGCACAACGCGGGCCTCCTTTCTGCCGTTTGCGAAGTGATCGTGTGATATAAGGTCTGTCGAATAATACGTTTGTAGGACGGCGCTCGGGCTTTCGCGTTCTGGAAAAGGTCACCCTTCCCCCGACCCGGGGAATTATTTCTCCTCTTCCTTAAACCCTCTGATTCCCTTCCGTTAATTCCGTTAGAAACTTTCCTTCAGCAATTTGTCGACTCACCCTCCCAAGCTCAACGTCCATGAGCTCATTAAACCTCTGCCCCCGTTCTCGCCGTTATTGGTCTCCTGTCGTACAATGTCCGGTACTGTCAGGTGGCTGTACGGAACCCGTTCGCAATCGTGGATGTGGACAAAGCCACCGGAGGGTGAGACGCCCCGGTCACATTGTGCGACTGCCAATTACAGGTCATCACACGCGACATAGGTGTGTGTGTGTGTGTGTGCCAGACGGTCGAAGGTTCTTGGGGGAGCTCGTTGGGGCCTTCCGACCCGTGGGTCGTTCAAGGTCATCAACTCAGATGTATGGCTCATACCGGGATGTAGGTGCGCCTGCTCCCCGCCTCAGGACCCCAAGGGCACCACCCCACTGTACGTGTCAATGGCGCGTGTACGGACTCGTCCTCCTCACCCGCCTACGTGTGTTTCATGTTCTCCTTTCCCCGTCCACGTGCAGTCGGCAGTTGGTTTCAGTTGTTTGTCGTACAACCCTCCCCCCCGTCTTTCCCACACACAGTGTTTTTTCCCTTTTTTCCTTCTAACAATGCACTTCCCCGACTCCCACGGGCATGTAAATACGTACATACGTACATACATACAAGCACATTTCTTACGTGTGATCACGTCATCATTCACTTCTTCATTCACACATACACACGCGTACACACACATACACAGACGTATAAACGTAAACGTGTCCTGTACGCAGGGGGGCGGTTGTGGTGCCGGTAGTCGGCCGTATTTGCTGGTTGAACGGGTGCGGTAACGGTCACCGTCACCGCCACCGCAGCAGAGTGCTCCTGCAGGAGGCGTCCACCCCCACCCTCACCCCCACCTCCAACCCCATCCCCACCCCCACCTCCAAGGTGGCAGTCATGTGGCGTGACACAGTGCCACCGCCTGCAGCAGCAACAGCGGGGACGATGGCGACCTGAAATCTAGATTTGTCCTGTCCGGCGCAGCTGAGGTGTCCGAAAGGAAACTGTTTGGTGCTTTGTACCCTTTCGAGAACCAACAATAACATTTCTGTTATTTATTAAGTAATAGCAGTGTGGAGGTGGAGATTACTTAGGATTTTACTAGGATATGAAACACGATGCGGTTAGGGCGGGCTTAGGGTTTTAGGGTTTTGCTGCACTTCGTGCGGACCAACACAGGGTGTAGTAACAGGCTCTGTAACCCTCATTTGCAGTCTTACAACCCCCCCCTGTCGATGTCCACAGTGGTTTTTTCCGTACAGTTTCATCAGCATGTGCTGAAGGGCAAAGTCAAAGAGGGTCTTAATTTTTGCTCCAGGAGTACCTTCTTCCGCTTAAAAGGACAAAGGAATGATGAGCAGGGTGGTAATACAGCGCGGGGGTGGGGAAAGCGGGGCTGGGATTTAGCCAAAACGATTTTCAGTAAGTCTACTTCCTTTTACGTGCTGTTGCTTATGTACATATGTATGTATGTCACAATTGCCGTACAGATGGACGTTGTAGACGTGTGCAGACCGGTGGGTCTCTAGTGGTAATTTTGTAACGGTCGCAACAAATAATAAGGTTGCTGTCACTCACGAGGTTGCTGCCAAGGTGGTTGTTAATTTCTAACCACCGGTCCACCGAGATAAAAGTGCCGTGTGTTGTACCGGAATAAATATTTTTTTTCTTAGAGTGGTAGCGGGCTGCGTGAGCATGTGTGTATTTCATTCGGCGGGTATGTCACGACAATCTAGCGTCACGTTCATTTTACCGTCTTTTATAATCGTACGGCATGATGCAACCGTATAGCCGTACATACGCTATCTTGGACCGGATCGCCATTGATGGCGATTCGCACTTGCTATTGTAGATGCGGTGTGTGTCGTACGGCGGCATATCGGTGTCGTACCGAGATGAGCAACCCTTTTTTTGGAAGAGCGTCGGCATAAATGTGAAGGGAAAAATGTTGGAACCATTATATTTGACCATGAATAATAAAAAAGATGCGGATATTGTATTTGTTACTGTTGTCGTTAAATGTTATTACAGTGTGGGAGGCTTCTGGGCCATTTGCACACATTTGGATTGCCATATCCAGGTTTGAACACCGTACTGCACCATTTTATCACGCCGTACCACTACGCCATATCAACTGGAAGTCCAAGGCGATTCATCCTGCGTTCTAGGATCCCTCCTCATCATCAGCATGACACCAGAACATTCTTAAAAGAGACAAGGGGTTCAACAATCGCCACCAATCCAGCGTGGTGCAAATGTCGGTCCATAAACTGTAATCTCAAATGTTTAGTTTTTTTAAAAGATCTGATATGAAGTTGCTTCTCACAATAAAAAAAACTGAGGTTGGGTATTCCAGGGAGAGGGTACGCGTACGGCATTATTGTGTGTGGTTGTTACAGTGGGCTCCAGACTCCCGAAGAGTAGAGCCATCGGGCCAGCTGGCCGTGCACTGCAGTAGAGACTAATATACCAAAAGATTATCATCTCAGATAATTAACCTCTCATCGGTAACCGCTCTCGCGAACAAATCAATTTGCCAGATATAATCCTCAAAAAGGGGTGATGTGCGCCAACGGATTCCCAACCTTTTCGTGGAATTCCTAAAGCTGCGAAACCCTGAATGCGGCCCCAAAAATCAACAATAACTCGACAAATTGCTTCTTCCGTAAGGGAAGGACCAGGTAACAGTGCCGGGTTGGTTTTCATGTTTGCAGCCATATAACGTCTCCCATGCTCCATGGCTGACACCGCAGCAAGAGCCACAACATCCCAAAGACATTGTTGCACTGATTGTGGGGCTTGGATAAGCCAAAGTTGCTCCCTTGAGACTGGCAATCCTATTGAAAGAGTAAGTTGATCTGCTATTGCCTGTGCCACCGGACAGGCCCAGAAATGATGATAGCGAGGGGATACACCTCCCACTGAACCTATTGGATAACCTCCACAACCACATATCGTTGGGCGCGACATCCTAAGATGGGAATTTCCTAACATAGGCACCCCATCAACCGCAAGACGCCACCAAATCTCTTTTTGTTCATTTTCCCACCGTAAATGAAACCATAAACGATGGAATGTCCGTTGCAAAAGAAGAATAGCTTCATCCAATATCTCAGAAGAACCCGTCGCCTCTTTGATAAAAGGGTAT